CTGAGATATGACCTGAATTTGTTAACGTGATATTAACTAAGTTTGACCTCAAACATAGACCTCAAATAATGACCTCAATCAATGACCTCTAATAAACAATGTATGACTCGCACAATGAGCCGAAACATTAACTGATATTTGAAGTTAAACATTAAGTGATATTTCATTCATAACATACATATACTTAAAGCCCATGAACTGAAACCAATGAGTTAACATGTGCAAGTAAAAACTACACAAACAAAAAAACTTGCAAATGACCCTCATGCATAAGCCCATATACATATCTAAGATTGCTTAAGATCCTTAAAAGGCTATATATTCTGCAAAAATGCCAATAGGATCTTCCAAAAAATTATTATATTGTGTCATAAACATTACATAAGCTAACTAATGGGCATCATTGTCTTCCATGGAGTCATACAAAGCATGAAACCTCTGTCTTGCAGTTGTGGCATCAGCATGAAATTCTGCCTGTTCAACACCTTTTTTCCTTAATCTTGTAGAATTGGCATTCCTTTCCTTTTCATTCCTTGCTCTCAGTCTCTGCACAAATTAAAACGAATCCACTCACTATCCTGGTGGTTTATAAATGCAACACATAACATAAAATTAGAAATAGGCAAACATACCTCCAAATAGGGGTGGCAGCGGGTCAGATTTATGTCGGGTGAAGGCTCATCCACGTCCACCCATTAATTTTTCATATTCCACCCACCCGTCCACCATCCATTAAACATTACATCCACATCCAACCCACCCATCATGAGCGGGTTATCGGGTGGATCGGGTGAGTAACGGGTGAATATAAACGGTCTAACTTAAAAGACAAAATAAATAAATTATAAATAGAAATTATAACAATTAAAAACCAAAAATTAAAAATTCATTGAATAATAACAACAAAAACTTGAGCAACTAAGTATATACTACAATCGTCAGTTCACTGCCAATAAAGAAAGAAGTGGTTGTCAAACAAAATAGTCATATTTTTTTTTCAAGCTGTAAAATTCTACATTTCTGCATCGGCACAAAATTATTTTTGCGGTTCAACTACCACTTCTTGAAACTCTTCAATTGTCCTTACTTCACCAATTCAAAGATATGTGTCTTCTCCATTAACAATACATATCTATTACTCTATAATATACTAGTATTAATATTAGTTGTTATATATATTATTAAATAGATATTATATACTCCCTCCGTCCCATTGGACTTTGCCAACTTTCCCTTTTTGGTTGTCCCAAAAAACTTTGCCACTTTCCTTTTAAAGCAACTAATTTGTGGTTCTGCACATTTCTCTCTCTTCTGCACAAATCTCAACCTACACTGTGTTTTACTATTCTTATTTCTCACATACTTTGCACTTGACAAAGTCCATCGGGACGGAGGTAGTATAATATAATAATATATATTATTTTTTGTACAAGTTAGCGGGTGGGTGGATGGAGCGGGTGACGGGTCGGGTGATGGATTGGATTGGTGTTCATCCATTTTTCATCCATACTTTTTTGGGTTTTCGTCCATATTTTCGGTTCAGATTGACTGGATATCCGCGGGTGCGGGTGATATTGCCAACCCTACCTCCAAACCACCAACAATTATTTCTTTTTTCCCTCTTCATTCAAGTACACCCTCACCACCTGTGTCCTCTGAACCTTGGTTTTCAGTAAAATATGATTGCAAAGTACTAGCAACTGCAGGTACATTGGCACCATTGGTTTCCTGGCAATTTTATACACACAATAAGAAGTTAAGAATATATTAAAAGCCCAAACATGTGCAATCTGACATATAAAGTTTAAGGCCATTTACCTCATCTAGGTTATTTTTGTTAGGACACATGTTCTGAGTGTGGCCTTCTTGGGAGTAGTAGGTACATGAATTGTTTACTGGGTTTGAACTTCCAGCTTCATTGTCATGTGGAAAGATAGATGCTCCTTGCATTATTTGCTCTTTTGAAGGACACCCTTTTTTGTCGTGTCCCTTCTTGAAGCATAGCTGACACGTAATTGTTGTACCTCTACTGGGTAGCTTGCCACTTCTAGGAAACTCACCTAATTCCTTTATTCTATTTTTCTTTGGCCTACCTAGTTCTTTTTGTTTTAAAGCAGTTGATAAGACCTTGATGTTTGTTTTAGTCCAGAATAATGGACCAGCTAAAGGTGTCATCATGTGAGCATCTGTATGCCTATACATATCCTTCTTGTACAACTGAGACACATAATCCTCTATAGGATGACCCTTGTCCCTAATTGCACATATGACGTGTTTGCAAGGAATCCCAGAAACATCACAGTGCTCACACAAACAACTTCTATTGGCCAAGTCAACAAGATAAGTGTCATAACCACATGACACTTCATAACCATCGACCCCATTAAACTGCACCCTCCAATAATTACTTGCCATTATGATGTTGTTTATCCTCCTCCTAATTCTAGGGCCTAACTGACCAATCCATTTATCACCTAAATCCTTATTCTTGGTAAGCCTTTTGCATTACCAACTTTCTGATATACTCTAACTGAGATCTAGCAGCAGGTACTATTACTCCATTAAAAGGCTCACAAAGATTGTTATCAACAGTTGACACTTTATACTCCTAATAAAGAATGCTCTACACTAAAACTTAGGATCTACCTTCTGTATATCTTCATGAGCAGTAGGAAAAAGAGGTTTGAGCCCCTTAAGACTCTCTTCAAACTCTCTTTTGGAGGCAGCCTTGCAGCACTTCCAAAATTGTCTTTGCAATATAATTCAATAACAGGGTGGGTTCTTCTCCATATGACATAAATGTGCCTGACACATCTTCAATTCTATGTGCTCAACCTCTGGTAGAGTCTCATACAAAACTGGCATTAATCCCTGATAAAAGGAATATAAGACATACAAACACATTATAAACCTATGAAACTTATTCTTAGAATCATGAAAATTAAATATTCATGACTGCCAACAATTAAGAAATAATAAATGCAGTACTAATTCACCTTTTGTTGGTCAGAAACAAATGCCCATCCTGCTCCTCTTCCAATCTGTAAATCATCTCTTAGATTCTCAAAAAACCACTTCCATGTTGCTTTAATTTTGTCTCTGATCCCACAACAGCCCATGCAATTGGGAACATTTGATTGTTGGCATCCCTTGCCACTGCTGTGAGGATTTCTCCCTTCACTTCAGATTTTAAGAATGCACCATCAATTCCAATTAACCTTCTACAACCCTCTAGAAAACCCCTCTTACATGCATCAAAGCACACATAAAATCTTTCAAACACAGGACTGGGCTGCATAATTTGTAATATGCATTTATTTCCTGCATTAGACCTTAGGATTTCAACTTTGTAATCCTCCAAATTGCTGTCCTCACCCTCTATATTTCCCTTTTCCTACTTTCTTATCATTGACTTTGCTTTCTTCATTTGCTCCAGAGATACATCACAATTGAGTTCTCTCTTAACCATCTCTTTCATAACATTGGTTTTCATATCAGACACAGCAGGCTTAGTGTTGAAAATTTTTGCAATCACTTTAATTTGCAGTGGCACTAGGAATTTGCCACCCTGGATTGCAGGTATGGTCCTTATGGAAGGTCTTCAACACCCACTTCTTACTCCTACTTCTGTTTTCAATGCCAAAGTAGGCCATCCATGTGCAAGTCTTGTTTAAGTTTGAACACTTAGGAGGCGTTTACTTTGCTGCTAAAGTCACAATTAAGTTAGTAAGATAAGTGAAGTAAACACGCACGCTGCTTAAAAAACCGTTTACTAACCGAAATAGGTGCTTAAAGTGCCGCTTACTAAGCATACCACCCTCATGTATTAATTAAACGACACTTTAAGTTTTTTCAGTTTCCGAATTTACCCCTTGTCCTTACCCTTATTGTTACCCCCCTACCCGCCCTACCCTACTACCCGACCCACCATACCCACAACCTCGATCCATCCTCGTACCTTACCCCTACTAGACCATTACCCCACCCCCACCCCGCATACCCTTTTCCCTACAACGACCCTACCCCACCCTCACCCCCACCTCGGTCCCGCCCCCCACCTCTACCTCGGCCCCACCCGATCTCGACCCCTACCCCTACCCCTACCTTACCCCGACCCCACCCCAACCAAGGCCCCTACCACCTTACCCCCTAGCCCCCACCACATCGGCCCTACCAGACCCCACCATATCCTACTCCTACCCTACCTCGACCCTAACCCCTACCCTACCTACCCGACCCCCTACCCCCAAACCCTAGGCCCTTACCACCTACCCCAACCCTACCACATTAGCCCCACCTAGGGCCACCCCAGCCCCTTACCACATCGGCCCCACCCTAACCGCTACACCACCCTACCCTACCTTACCCGACCCCCCCACCCCCTAGGCCCAACCACCCCTACCACATTGGCCCTAACCCTGACCCCACCTTACTCCTACCCTAGGCCCTTACTACCCTACCCCAGCGGGGCCCGACCCCACCATGTCCTACCCTACTCTACCTTACACCGACCCCACCCCAACACCCTACCACATTGGCACCACCCGACCCCACACTACCCCTTACCCCTACCCATACCCCCTACCACGTCGGTCCCACCTCCGACCCCACCCTACGTGAGGTAGGATGGCGATAGGGTGGGCCAGGATCTGGGTGGAGCCAAGGTAGGGGCATCTGGTAGGGGTGGTAGGGGTTGGGTTGGGGTTGTGATCGGGGTGGGACCGTGGTAGGTGCAAGTGGTGTATTGAGTGGGTTTGGGTCGTGGTTAGGGGTAAGGGTGGGGATTGTGGGTAGGGTGGGGTCGGGGTTGGGGTAAGGTAGGGTAGGGGCCTAGGGTCAGGGTAAGGTAGGGTAGGGTATGAGGAGTAGGATAGGGTAGGATGGGGGTAAGTGGGGTGGGGTGGTAGGGGTGGGGTCGAGGACGGGGTAGTGGTGGGGTCAAGGTAAGGTAGGATAGGAGTATGTAGGTTGGGGTGGGGTTGATGTGGTAGGGGGCAAGCCTTCCCTTGTCGGTTTGGCTACAGAGTGGGACAGTGGGTACAGTATTTGGCACATAGAGTTCTTAAACACCCACACCCAAATCTTGCTGATTTCAATGCAACACAGTATGAGCCAACTCCGCCGAGCGCTTTTCTTCGCTCCCCGCAATGTTATCTCCTCGGCTCTTGCCACTGGCATTCATTCATCGCCATCGATCCACTCCCTAGTTGATCTCAAAGTAAATTCCCACCGACTTCTCAAATATCCGTGGTCCACAGCCCAATATAGAGGCTTTAAATTGAACGGTGCCGATGTAAGCCCCGCTTCCACTGTCAATTGGATACTCATGTGCATTTCCTACTGCTTTAGTGGTGACTTTAAAAAACCTTTTTGTAATTTATTGACAATGCGAAGATATATCTTCCGTAATGTTTACATGTAAATATGGAATTATACTGCCAAGCATTTAAAGAAATAGATGATATTTGGTCACACCACTCACACGTGGACTGTGTAATGCTCACTATATTACTTCTTTTTATATCCACCTTGAATCATATATCTTCTATTTGCTCAATGGGGTGGGAATCGAAATTCCAATTTTGAGTCCTCGCAAAAACAAAAAGAATCCAATTTTGATGATGTTTACTGTACTTGTTTTTTGTAGGTGAAGCCAGGGAATGTTATTCAGAGAAAAGGTTAGGTTTTGTTGAAACAATAATAAATTTTTGAATACCATCTCTTGCACAAGACTAACGTTTTGCTTAATGGTGATGCCAAACTTTAACTCCTTCGTATACTTAAGGAAAGATTTATCAGGTAAACATTTGGTTTTAAAAAATGGTTATTTTGAAAAATCCAATTACTGTTATATGTTATGTTGGTTTGTACATCAAATGCAATTCACTTTGGGAATGGAAAATGACGTAGGTGGTGAAGGCTCAACATACTTCACAAGGAAGAGGAGGAGCTATTGTTCAGGTAATGGTCTAGTTGTAATTGTTAACATACTATTGAATATTGATGTTATGAATTAGTAAGATAACTAAGATTATAGATTGAATTACTGTGAGTGCATTACTTCTGGTCTACTCATGTTTGGTCAAATTATGTAGTCCAACCTCCAACCTTGTTTTTTGAAAAGTAACACCATTACCCCTCAGGTTTGGTAGGATTAACTAATCCAGTGCTATATTTTACAAGTCAACTAGTTACCCTAAACTTTGACTCTAAACAAATACCCCTCCTTACATATCATTCTCACTTTATGTCATGTTTCTCATTCTTTTGTTTTTGAAGAAAAGAAAAGGTCTATTAAAAATCCAAATAATACCACTAGATATTAGTTTTCATATATACAAGGTTTGTAATGATCTTAATTGCCACCATAATAAGTAAATATGCTTTTTATATATCAATTCATTTTCATTTGAGTCAATTATGATGCCATTAATTAGTGGTTAATGACTTAATGTTATTATTATTACTTAGCATGTTATGAGATAACTGTGGTAATTAGTGTTCTATATATATTTTGGACACTATGCACAATAACCCCAAGAGTCTAGTTAACAACAACAAAAGGCGATGATGATGAAACTTCTCGCATATATATATGGATTTCTAACAAATATTTCACTAAAAATGAGCAGACCAGTGTGCATGGCATCCCCTCAAGGCGAGGGTCTGAGGAAGGGTCCCACCACAAGGGTCTGAGGAAGGGTCCCACCATGAGGGGGCAAGCCTTCCCTTGTCAGTTTTCGACGAGAGACCACTCCCAAGACTTTAACCCGACCTTTCTTCACACAACACCACCTTAAACGGTGCACTAAGCCCCCCTCTTCATTTAAATTTCATTGTTTTGATAAAAAAGAATTGATAAATTAATAGGAAACCATGATGAAATGAATGCTTGGGCACTCAATTTCCTACCTTTTTCATAGTATATGGACACAGCTATGGGACTGAGGTGCCAATGCATGAAGGAAACACTCCTAAGGCTCTTGGTCGACTAATATGAGGTTTACACCTTAAGATGTATGAGGCGCCGATGTGCCGATCCTAAGCCCCGATTTCATAAAGAAAATTTGGAGTATTTAAGAGTGAATGTTGTTTTAATACGCGTTGGGCTATTTTTATGCTGTTCGGCCTCAGGATATTCTGGACACGAACCTAGTCTGGCACTCTCCATTTTTTGTATGTTTTTTTAAACAACCCTTTTCTCTTCATTTTTCAATTTTCACCAATAACGTAACAGTCCTCTCACAGCCACAAGTTTAATTGCTCATATTTATCTATGTGATTGCTCGCTGGATACTACTTTTTCTGTTTCCTTCTCTTTTTACTACTTTTATCCAACATCCCTTATATTTCTCTCTCTCTCTCTCTAATATTCTCTTTATTCTCTCATCCCCTTTTAATCAGCTTGTTAACTAGCATATCGATGGTGATATCGAAGTTACGATATCGAAGGAGATGGAAATGGGATGAGATTACAAATTAGATAATGCTCCGTAATTAACTGAATAATGGTATTACTTTTGAAGATTAGTAGTTAGAAACTTAGAATGTTAAGACTTAAGTATGTTGTATGTTCTTATTTTTGGCATGCATATTTTATTATTTATGTCTTATTGACTTTTTTGTCCTTATAAGAAAATACTATATTTATATTTTTTAAATTTCAACATATTAAATTTTTATGTCATTGAACTATCATTATAAATGATCTATTTTGCACTATTTATTATTATGTTGTTTATGTTTCTCTGAGGCTTACGCCTTGCTTCGCCTTGTCGGGACTCGGGAGGCCAATTTCGGCTTTGAAAACCTTGAGTGGTAAGAGCTGGCATGTCAGAAACAGAACACTGCTTCTCAAGTGGTAGGAGAATCATCATTAGAATTCAAAGGCTGCTGGTTGAGGAGCTATTTAGTCCTTGGATTTTGCACAAAGACTTCTGAATGTAATAGACTCTTCTGTTTTGTCCAGAAGATGTTACAAAAGAGCACTAATGAACAAGGACTATATTCATATACTTGGAGATGAATGCATTTATGTTTATAAAGCTAAAAAACAATATACCGTTTGACTAGGTAAGAAGAGCTCTATATTAGTGTAGTCAACTGTTCTTGATCAACTGATATAGATGTTTTCCTGGTGTTTAAGAATAGGCCTGTGGGTGTAATAGTACACTGAAAGTAAGAGCACAAGTATCTCAGTCCGAAGGTGGTGTAATACTTCTATTCCAGTCACTCTCTTCAAGAGCGTTTCCACTAAGTAATTATCACTAATAGAATTAGTGCCAAATTTAGCCTTGATCAGAAAGCCAGTCAAAACTTGAAGGTTTTTCACGGAGAGTATAACACCACTCCAAGCTACTCAGTCCCTATGAAAAACTTACACTAAGCCAGTCAAAACTTGAAGGTTTCACTATGAAAAACTTCTCAATGTTACTCTAGTACTCTATCCTTTCCTTTACCCAAGATTTGATCACAAATCTTTCTTGAGATTTTTCTTTTATTTAGATCAATGTTTGATGCTAAACTCTGATTAATTAAGCTCTAAATATATTTCAGTGAGTGTTTAAGAGTTTAGAGAAGTGTTTGGTGTGCGGATGAGTTGTTGATCAATTAACACTTTTGTTTTGCTTGATATCTCTTGTAAGGTCTTCTTGTTCTTAGCTCCACGCATTCTTCAAAACACTTCTGTATTTCTTGGTTGTATAGGACTTATCCTGTTGGTGCAGGAAGTTTCTTTCCATCCGGTTGCTTGATGGGGCTTGAACTCTTCGCTCATGAGATTTGATTTTCTTTCTGAAAGGTTGTGAGCCGATATTGAAGCCCATGTGGTGAATAAGTGAGTTGTATTTATCATTGTCTTCTTTTGAATTTCGCCATTCTTTTTTAGTAACTTGCTCCATCAGTTGAGACTTGAAACACAGTAAACAGGGGCATTAAATGCTCACTGATTCACTGTTCAGTGAGGTCCATATGTCTTCCCCGGGTTTCTTGATTTTTTACATTGTAGGAGGGTGTAGAGTTACCTGAGGTAATCAAGTTTGCTTCTTTCAGTTGAGCCCAAATCTCTGTCCGTTGAGTTTGGTGCATCTTTGTCTTCACTTACTGTTCTGTTCTGAGGACTCTCCTGCTCTTGAAAATTGTCTTATTCTAAAGCACTTTGCTGTTTCAAAGAGACATTCCTGTTTTGGTCGCTCTCTTGTTTTATCACTCTTCTGTGTAAGAGTCTTCTGTTTTTCAACATTTGAATGCAACTCTTCTGTTCTCAACCTTTGAATATAACCGTTTTTTTCTTTCTTAAGTAATAATTCCAGAGGTTTATTTGAGAGGCTTTTGTTCTTTAGGTGACTTGGTTTTTCTAAGAGTTGGCTTTCCTGTTTTGGTCACTCTTCTCTTTTTTAGTCACACTCTCCTGTTTCTAAATTCTAACTCAGTACTTTCTTGCAGTGTGAAGTCCTCTCATCTACTTTGTAAAAAGTCACTCCAGTTTTTCGAAGTTCACTCTCCTGTTTAAGTGAGATCAATCTTCTGTTTTCTCTTTCTAATACTCTTCTTTTTATTTCTTTTTCGTTCTTCTTTTCTTTTTATTTCATTGTTCTTTTTCTTTTTCGTTTTCTTTTTATTTTTCTTTTTGAGTATCTTTTTTTCGCTTCTTACTTTCTATTTTTGATACTTTTTTTATTGATTTATAAGACTGAATAAGATGCAACAAAATAAAATGTCTCAGAGGAGTCCTAACAGATTTGAAGGGCCTTATGAATCTTCATATCTTACCGCCCTATCATCTTCCCTTCCATGATCTTCATCAAATCCTCCTACTCTTCATTATCACCCACCTCCACTAATTTTCATCTTCTTCTAATTTTTCTTTGATTATACCCGCCTTTTGGCTTGAACTTTTGTTTGATTTCTCTCTGATAGTTCCCCTCCATGATATTAACATTTAGGTTATCTCTAAATGTACTTTTCACCATAATTTCCATTCACAAGGCCACAAACCACTCATTATTTAATGGCAATTCACCAATCAAAAGATTCTTCTTTATTAGCTAAGGATCTAATTTTGAAGTGTTTATCCCTTCAGCCTTTTTTTGTACAGGATATAAACCAAAGCGTTCAACTTGATAGTCGTCAAGCATTTTCATCTTTTGCTGTGCATATTGATTGCAAAACTCCAGTTTTAAACACACTAGATGATAAACAAGTAAAATGTAACACTTTAGTTGCAGAAATTTGAAGCTTGGGAGTGCTTTCTGTGTGTTGAATCCACCATTCAACTGAAAAAGTAAATCATATTTCTTAAAATTAAAAATATTAAAGCAAGTATACACAAATAAAATCGAGCAAAATAAAAAATTTAAGATATCTCTTGAAGATTTCACTTTATAGAATATTGACTTAATTAACTGTGTAACTAGAGCTATAGCCTATAGGCTATACTCTAAAGCTTAAAAAGTTAAAATTTACCAGGGGATCTCATGAAGATTGTATTACTTGCTTGAGCAAAACATAAAGCCCTTCTTGTTTGTGCAAATTTCTACATTGGAGGTCAGCTTTCTTCCTGTTCTCTCTCATAGGTATGAGTCGGTACAGGCAATAAAAGTATAAAACAAGCCAAGTCTAACGACAGGATGAGTAGAAAAATCATCTGTATAACTGCAATGGAAATAGATAGTTGACTGCCGAAGTTGCATCCTTGAACAATTGCGTTTAGAAATCACATTTCTCATCGATAGTATCCCATATTTGCTTATAATCTTTTACAGCTTCATCCAAATCCTCTATTATGATTTTAGTTGCCACATCCATAACATTGTAGAGGTAACCCATTGCTTGTTTTTTATCAGAATCAACTATTATCAACACCAAGGGTTTGTAGTTTTGATAGCATTAACCATATTTGTCCAATTAATTATCCTTTATAACCATATTCTTTAATCCTTTCCCTTCCGATGTGATTGCCCAACTAAATCCCGTCAACTGCTCATAAGTAAACATAGACTCAAATGGTTTCCTCAGCTGATAAATACTTCATAAAGGAAAAATGATATGAAGCAGAATTTGGGATTGGAAGAAGAGGGGCAGAAGCCCCCGTGGGTTTACCGAAGGCGGGACGGGCTAGAGCCCACCTCCGTGGGTTGGTTGCAGGCTGTTTAATTAATATTAATTGTTGTGAAGCAGAAAAATAAAATCAACGGGGTGAACCGTTGCCCAGATAATCAACGATAAATAATTACCGTTGCCCAGAGCCAAAAGGCTAAACCAACTTTTATTCCCCAAATTATCAAGAATGAAGCGTACAAGGGGTATAAATAACCTTCTAGGTCTAATAAGAATATGAATCCTAAATAAATTATTCTAGGAAACTAAATAGAATAGGAAACCTCTAGTTCTAATAGAACTCCTAATTAAATCATTCTAGGAAACTAAATAGAAATAGGAAACCTCTAATTCTAATAAGAATAGAAGTCCTAAATAAATCTTACTAGGAAACAAATTAAATTAGGAAACAAAATAAAAGGAATAATAAACATTAATTAAACAGCCCGCAACCAGCCCACGGAGGTGGGCTCTAGCCCGTCCCGCCTTCGGTAAACCCACGGGGGCTTCTGCCCCTCTTCTTCCAATCCCAAATTCTGCTTCATATCAATTCCATCCCCCTTCGAAAAAACCTTGTCCTCAAGGTTGAAATCCGGAAACCGGCTGACATTTGTTCCCGGTGGCTGCCCAGTATCTTTAGGAAAAATTGAGATGTACTCCTCCATAGTCCCTTTCTGCTTGCCTCCGGATAGCCGTTCAAAGCAATTGCCCTTAAACCGTGAGTCAAAACGAGCCACTAATGCTTGTGTAAGCTCATCCCATGACATGCCCGGCTTTCGTGCTCGTAACGAGGTCAACCGGTACAGGGCTGACCCTTCCATCACAACTACAGTGGCTACCACCTTCTTTCCCGGCGGAGTACAGCTCAGTTCGATTTGATGCTCAGCCCTAGCAACCCAACCGATCGGGTCTTCTCCGTCAAACGAAGGCAGCGTCGTGAGAGAAGTGTTGCACAGTCCAGTTCCGAACGTGGATGTTGCTGCCACGTCAAGTGAAGCCATATCCGATGAATTCTCCTCCGCCGCTGGCGGTGCGAAAGCCTTTGTGAGCGCAGTCAAGGAGGAAGTGACGTTGCGCGGCTGTCCGTCGCTGCTGGGCGCAAATACGGTGGGGCTGCCAACCGCGTCAGGGCTTGTTTCCATCGTGATTGGCGGAACGAACGCCTTGGTAAGTGCTGCCAGGGATGCGGCGATCTCTGCCAGACGCACGCCGTGCTCCTCTAGGGTTTGATTCATCCGAATTTGCTTGGCCACCATCTCTGACAAATGTTCACTGATAGATCTCGTCATTCCGGCGGGACGGGATCCGGCAGGTCGGACCAATTGTTGTGAAGCAGAAAAATAAAATCAACGGGGTGAACCGTTGCCCAGATAATCAACGATAAATAATTACCGTTGCCCAGAGCCAAAAGGCTAAACCAACTTTTATTCCCCAAATTATCAAGAATGAAGCGTACAAGGGGTATAAATAACCTTCTAGGTCTAATAAGAATAGGAATCCTAAATAAATTATTCTAGGAAACTAAATAGAATAGGAAACCTCTAGTTCTAATAGAACTCCTAATTAAATCATTCTAGGAAACTAAATAGAAATAGGAAACCTCTAATTCTAATAAGAATAGAAGTCCTAAATAAATCTTACTAGGAAACAAATTAAATTAGGAAACAAAATAAAAGGAATAATAAATATTAATTAAACAGCCCGCAACCAGCCCACGGAGGTGGGCTCTAGCCCGTCCCGCCTTCGGTAAACCCACGGGGGCTTCTGCCCCTCTTCTTCCAATCCCAAATTCTGCTTCATATCAAAAAATGTAGGGGCAAACCTAATGGAGGTTGGTTGGATGAGCTCTCTATTGGAAGATATCCTTATCAAAATCAAATTCTAAAAGGGGACTGGGCACTTCATTTTATTTGATTAAAACACAAGCATAGTTGGGAAGCACGTGGGGTCTGATATAGACGTAGTTTTGCTTCATTTATATATCCGCTGCTGCCCTGTAGTTGCTTGCGTTTTCTGTTTCAATTTGGACAAGAATATCTTCTCAGATTTCTCGTCAATATTACCAAACAACTTACAGCTTAGCTTTGAATCTTTGACGTGCTCAGATGCATCCATACTTTTGAAGAAAGCACTGCAACTGGGACTATTGACAAGATTGGACTATTGACAAGAAATTTAATCAAATTTATTTGCGTAAGTATCCTCCCAACCATTAGACATCATTGTAACTCCAGTGTCAATCAACCCTCTTTTGAGTTGTATTTAGCCCTTACTTAAATATCTTCATACTACGTACATGTTAAGAAGTTTAAGCCCTCAACAATAGCCCTCAACAATAGGTTATTGTTTAATAGGGAACTTCTGAACAATAATGATATTTTTGTTTTGAAATTTTATGTATAGCTTGGATTGGCAAACATTTTGGATGTCATATTTTCTTATATTAGTTTCTCTTACTAAACTTGAACCTATATATAAACAACAATTAAAACCAATCAGGAATTTAAGATTCACTATTCAGTAATCAGCACCGCATCTGAAATTAGAAAAAATATAGGAAAAATGTGACCAGTGGTAGGAAAGCATGACCAACCAGAGGAGAAGGGGAGGAGGAAAAATAGGGAACATGAAGACAGCAAAGTATGAGATTACTTCAAGAAGGGTGTAACTCTCAACGCCTATTTTGAACTTGTACTGGTGAGACACGCCTTAAATCGCTCCTCTGGTGCACCTTTTTAAACTTCGTCTTTTATGAGCCTTTCTGTGTTAATTTAAATTGCACCGTTTCACTTTCTTAATCAGTGCCCAAAAGCAAATACAAACCTAATTTGGGGATATATGGAGTATATATCAGGAAAACAAATGGCATTCTTGGTTTTCTAAGAAGCATTTCATTTTAAAAAGAAAAGGAAAGATGTGAAACAATGAATTTGAAATCTAAGAGTGGGGTAGCTGCTGACAGAACCAATGTTAAGGTGGTAAACAGCTTACCAAGGTTTTCAGGATCAGGGTCCTACTTGGGATTTTTAGGAGGGTGTACATGATAAGACCGTTGAATTGGATCGAGGATCCTAATATTTTAACCACTCTCCACATTAGTTGATTTAAATGCATATGTAATAATTTAAGTCTTTTTATACTCTATTTAGAACACAGCTACTTTTTCCTTGAAATTATCGAATCCTTTCATCGTGTTCCTTATAACGTGCCCATGGTCACACTTTAAAAAACACTCCTTATCAAAATTCAATGTTGGGCTAACTAATCTGACCAAATGTAGATGGTAACTAGTTGGCTTTTCAAAATACGACACTTGATGACCTGAAGGGGGGCATTAGTAACTTAGTAACTTAGTAACTAACCCTTGAATTTAATCTGAACATGTTTTGTATCTCCATGATATATTCTAGGTAGAGCTGCGGGACGTTGATAGTGGAACCAAAGTGAATGAGAGATTCCGTACTGATGAGGCAATTGAGAGTATGTATCTTCAGCTTTTCACATTTGATTCTACGTTGGTTTGTACGTCGGATTGTCATATTTTCTACATCGCATAATATCTCCTAAATCCTAATGCTTAACCCCAGCCTTTTTTCCATGCCTAAGTAATTTATGAAGTGACTAAACATACCAGAAGGTAGGTATTCACATGTTATTGTTTTGTGCTCAAATAATGCTTTATAACACTTCTCATCTGGAACTCAAACTAATTCTATAAGGAGTTTGTAAGTGATGTCAAGCCTTTGTTGCCAATGAAGGGTGACCTAAGCGCCCAGCTGACTCGGAGAGGCCCATTTTCCAAATCATTTTCTTTGATCCATTCCATCTTTATATTAACGGTCTTTATGTGTGCACTGTGCAGGGGTATTTGCTACAGAAAGGACTTTTACATACCTCTATACTGATGATGAAACTGGAAATATTGTGTTAATGGAGTGAGTATTCTTTGTGATTTTATGATTTTAATGCGATTTATAGTTATCTTACTACTGGAAGTAGGCTAGTGCACTGTTGAACATATTTCTAAACATCTAATTCTCATTATATTATCGACTAGACCTGATACATATGCACAGCTGGATGTACCACGACATCTGTTTGGTAACTCTTATGTCTACCTTCAAGGTAATGAAATTACTTATTTATTTGACTCACATATATTTCAACATTCTCCTATGTACTCCTTCCGTCCTGCAATTAAGTTCACATTTTCCTTTTCTAAATATCCCGGAATCAAGTTCATACTTGATACTTCTCTTTTTGGTAATATTTGAGTGGTAAAATATCATTTTACCCCCAAGGAAAGTGCATCATTAATTTTCTCTATCATACTTTTAAAGGACATACTTGGAAACTAAAAAAAGGTATTTTGTCTAGAAATTCGTGAAGTCAAACTATAAACTAAATTACGGGATAGGGGAAGTAATATTTTGCACTCAAAATATGATGGGCAAGAATCACGAAGAAACCTCATTATGAGATCCTTTGAGACATGGTTTTGAAAGGTGAAATTGGCCCCATGGGTTTGAAAGGCAGACGGGGTGTGCGCCTCTAGGGCGCAAAGGTGTCGATGAATCCCCTAAAGGCTCAAGCCTTGAGCTGCAAAAGTAACGCTAACACCTCCAATTTGCTGAGGTGACGGTGCGTTTAGGTGCAGGGCGCAAGGGGCAGACAAGGCGTACAACTCCAACTTCACTTATTTGGGCTGATTTATTAATATGGTTGGGTCTCGAGCTTAAGTTTTTTTTTTTAAATTTGTTTTCTCCTAAAGTTCTATAGTTCAAACTTCAAAGTACTTCTTACTAAAACACACGAGCATTCGTTTGTCGATAACCCTAGGACACGTTTACTTCACATGTTACTAAATGGTGCTTATTAAGACTCACATTAATAAGCGGCTCATAAATTAATCAGTGTTGTAAGCTCATGTTTACTTCAAATGATTTAAAACACTGTTTTAACATTTAAATGTTCAAAATAACTCTATACATATATAAACACAAAAACATTCATGTACACAAGTATTTAATATAATACGTGGGGGCCTCCTCGTGCGCGTACCCCTACCCCTAACCCCCTCCACACATACCCCACCCCTACCCTACCCCTACCCCTACCACGATCTCTTACTAGTACCCCCTGCCCCCTAACACCCTTACGCCCTACCCCGTACCCCTGTATCCCCGACCCATGTACTCTACCCCCTTACGCCCTACCTCGTACCCGTACCCTTCCTTACCCTTACCCCCTACCTTGACCAGTATGCTCGCTCGTACCCCTACCCCCATCCATTACTCCCTAGGGTTGAGGTAAGGGTGGGGATAGAGTAGGGGTAAGGGTGAGGGTAGGTAAGGGTAGGAGTATAGTGGGTAGATCGTGGTAGGGTTAGGGAGAATGCAAAGGTTAGGGTGTTAGGGTAGGGGGTGCAGGATTGGGGTAGGGCAGGTGGTAGGGGCAGGTGGTAGGGGTACTTTGGTGTAGGGGGGTAAGGGGTTAGGACGGGTAGGGGTGCGAGTGGGGTAAGGAGTATGGTCGGGGTAGGGTGGTAAGGGGCTAGGGGTAGAGGCCGGGTAAGGGTGAGTGGGTGGGGTACTGGGGTGTTAGGGTTCTGGGACTGAGAACGGGTCCAGGGACGACTTGGGTAGCAGGATACCCGGTGGAGGTTGTAACCTGCCTGCTAGGGTTTCCTCTCTTCTTGCCCGTGGCTGGAAGAGCGCAGGGGAGGGGGGAAGTCTGTGACTTCTCTGGAAATAATTTTTAATGATCGATAGTTTTATTAATGCTGAATAAAGAGTATAAATAGGCATCCTGCCTTTACATAATAGAGTTCTAATCGAACAGAAACTATAACATCTAATACTTCTATTCCTAATAGGAGTTCTAATCTAACTGTAACCTCTAATACTTCTATTCCTAATAGGAAGTAATAAATAAAATATAAAAATAGCATCAGGATAATTCCCTCTTCTAATTAAACTCTTCTAATTAAACTTCCCGCTGGTTCCATAAAAATGCATCTGTAACATGAGGGTAGGGTAAAGGGTTATGGTAGGGGAAGGGCTAGGGGTTAGGCGAGGGTAGGTGTAGGGTGGGGGTTGGGGTCTGGTAGGGGTGGGGTCAGAGTCAGGGTAAGGTAGGTTAGGGGTAGGGGCGGGGTGGAGGTAGGGTTAATTAATACATGGAGGGTGGTATGCGTAGTAAACGGCACTTTAAGCACCTCTTTCGGTTAGTAAGCAGCTTGCGTGTTTACTTCACCAGTATTACTAACCTAACTGGGACTTTACGAGTGAAGTAAACACGTCCTAGGTGTTGCCTTCTTTGTTCTCCATTTTCTTCCTAATACATGACCAGAGACCCAATATTCTCTCTTCAGGTATTTATCTTATTCTTTCTTTGTTTTTTTTATCTTATTATAAATTTTTAATTATTTGAAACTTTTTAGTTATTCAAAACTTCAGGTTTAAAACATTAAGATATTTGTACTATCAAGCTCCAAACTTAACTTACATTTTGAAGTTATCATTTAGCTTAACTTTTTAAACCCGGCTGAGTCGAATTAGATATGAGAATTTTATTCCAACTCTTGTGAGCTTGTCGTTTTTAAAATTTCAATTACAATTGAAAGCCAAGATTACAGGTTTTTTAGTTAAGCTGTAAGAATATTGATCTTTCTAGCCGTTGCTTACATGATGTATTTTCTAGTCATGATTAGCAGGCTAACAGCTTTAAATTTCAAGCTGATTACAATTTGATTAAGATTGTTAGTTTACAAGATTACAATTTGATTAGAAATATTGCAGTTTACTTGACTACAATTTGGATGTTGTTGTTGTACTTGATTACAGTTTGATAAAAATATTGTAGTGGCTAAGACTAATTTTATCAAAAGCCCGACCCATTAATTAATTCATTCTATATTGAGCCCAACCCATTTGGCCCATGCTTATTAGTTTTTTTCGGTGTTGCCTGGCCCAATCTGTTGACGATCCTAACTTCTAGGTGATTCATCTATGCTTCATAACCGCATGCGGCAGGGGCGGAGCCAGGACCATGGGCCAGACTGGGCCGATACAAATAATATTTTTTTAAAAAATTTTGCCCGGAATTTTTTACACTAAAAATAAAGGCATTTTTAAAATTTGGGATGGTCCAGGGCCAAGGTTGGCCCACCCCTATCTCTGCCCCGGCATGCGGCCCAGGGGCGGAGCCAAGGCACTGGGCCGGTACAAAGAATATTTTCAGAAAAAATTTTACACGGAATTTTTTACACTAAAAATACAGACATTTTTTAAATTTGGGTTGGGCCGGGGCCAGGGTTGGCCACCCCTGGTTAACCCCCTGCGCACGCCCCAACCGTCTTTGAAAACTATGCATAGAGAATGATACTGGTATAGTAAATCAAAATAAATGTCAATTACATATTATTTTACTCTAGGAATCTCAGGATGTTTTTAATTGGGCTGAATTTTTCTGGTCTAGTCTGATCTATTTTACAATGGTTGAAGTCTGACCTAGTCTAGTTTGTTCTAATCTATTTTGATGTGATATATCTGGGACTGAAACCAGTTCAATTAAAATATCCTTAAAGAACATGTGTTTGTGTTAGAACTTAGAAGGTAGCCCAAAGCCACCCATGTTTTTTAATTTGAACACTTGAAATACTAGAAAGGATTCCATTATCTTAGTTGGTTGAGATGCAAAATAAAAAGCTTATTGTAGTATAGGTATATCATCAAAGTTTTGCAGTTATTTTGTCATTGTCTACTTGTGCATTGCAAAACTGAAATTGTATCTATATGCCCAAACTTGGGAGACCTATGATTAAAGTTTATTTGTATTCATAGGATCTTAAGGTAATCCGACCTTAAGTTACCAGATCACTCTCTGGGTTATTATTTGATAAGTCTCTTCACTTGACCATAAATGTGCGGTGAACAGATGATATGAGAGTGAGTGTGCAGCTGTATGATGAAAGGCCGATGTCAGCATCTATTCCTTCGCGTGTAACATGCACTGTTGCTGAAACTCAAATTCAAGTGAAGGGTGCTTCAGTTACTCCTCAGTAAGTTCTTATGTAGTTAAATCCATAAGCTGAATAAGTAGATCAACACTTGCAAACTAATTCACTCTGTTACCTCAGGTACAAGAGGGCTGTTTTGGACAATGGTCTTACTATCATGGTGAGTTAAATGATCATAATATTAGTTTCTCACAGACAAAAAAATAATAGACCTTTAATATTTAACGCCCGCTGCTTTACTCGGGACTGCGTAACCTTACAATGTTATTTGACTGTTTTTTACCATTTACACATCGACCTTTGCGTATGTTCTTATCTAGGTGCCAGGACACATCTTATCAGGGGACAAGATAGTAGTCAGCACCACCGACAACACTTACATGTACAAGTGAGTGCATTTGTTCTCTTTATATTTTTGGAATCCTCTTTTAATGTCTATGTGTATGTAGAGTCAAATCTCTTGCTTTCCCAGACATAATAAGACTATTTTATGTTTCTTATTCAGGGCTTAGAGTGACTGGTCTGCCAAACATCTCGCTTTACTAGAGTGACTAATAATATTATTCACATGGGATAATCCTTCCCACCACCATTTTCTTACTTTCTATTTATAGATTATTGCTTTTACCATTATATAGAATTCATTTTAATTCTTACCAAGTACATGGATCTCTGAAAAATGCATGCACATCTGATTAAATACTTGACTTTCTATTGTCAAGTATTTATTACACATTGATCCGTTAAAATTTTAGTATCAAACGAGAAGTCACAGTGTTAGCTTCCAGCCTTCCAGCCTTCCACTCAACTTTTGATGGTTTTCACTTTTTACACCTCCCGTCAATGTTATTTTCTAATTGCACATTCATGCATATCTTAATAAGTAATTTCTTAATTATGTAAATCTAATTATTGTTTCGTATGAGGAAAAATTAATTAATGGCAAAAAGATAAAAATATTTAAAAAATTGTTTTATGTAAATTTTAAATTAAAAATTATGACCTAAGAATGTAGATTTCTAAAACATGGATGTCAAAGATTAAATAGAATCATTGATGATTCTAACAAAGATTAAAACTCGTTGGCGGAATGTATAAAAAGTAGCCAGTAAAACATGAGAGAAAAAGATTGTACGCGAATGTGTGAGAAGTATAAGGATTCTTTTTAGTTCAGTTTTCCAACCAATAGAATTATAGAAAGGTGTCAAATTAAAACAAGATTATTTCATGTATATGCAAAGTTAATTATATACCACCAGATTAATTGACCTCTGATTAACCATCTCAAATGCAATGTGCTTTTACACCATTGAATTTTGAGTGTTGATCCTCTACTTTCGTCTCAACAATCAAAACATTACACACAATTACACAAACTACAAATTTGGGAAAATCCAACCGTGGAAATAAAATACAAAAACGTATATATATATGCATTATTCCCTTTCTATTAACACTATTTTATATGTATATCCACATGCAGACAACTGAAAGATAGATTTGGACACAGATATTATCTGCGAATAATTAAGAATAAACATCTGCATTTGTGGTGTATATATAATGGCTAGCGTAAGAGGAACAGCCACTGCCCTATGTATTATTGTGGCGCTGATTGCGGCGGGGACGGAAGATGTGTCGGCAGCCCACCGCCCCACCGGGAAGATGATAGATTTAGGGGACATGGATTTACAATTTCCATGCGGTCATCGTCTGGCGAATAACCAAACCTGCAAACCAGCCGTTCCGAAAAGTCAAGTCTATTTTCGAGGTTGCAGCTACATTACTCGATGCCGTGGCAATGGTCGAAGGCTTCTCGGAGGTGTACCCAGTTAGTTGCCGGTCGACCTGATGATGTGCATCTCCGATGGAAAGGAAAGATAATAGTTACTAGTATAAAAGTTGAATGAGGGTAAAATTATGGATGTGCAAAAAAAAGTGTTTATGAAGTTGAATGAGGATAAAGTTTTTTTGGTCATTTTAAAGTAGGATGAGCAATTAAAATTTATACACTCAAAAACAAGATTGTAAGTTTTACTTTTACTAATGTCAAAACCAAATTTCCATCATTTGCAATGAAGCTAAAGATTCATTATTTTTTGGCTTGAGAATATGATGGAATAAAGCAAAATGGCTCACTAAACTGTCTGCGCTTCCTTGTTATGAAGCAGCAGTCAGTCCATGCAATTTTGGACGCGATTCTCACTATGGGTCATCCAGAAACAGTCTCTCTGTACTCTAGTACAGAGGTAGGACTGCGTACATCCGACCCCCCTTACCCCACCGTCGGTGGGAGCCTTTGCGGCACTGGGGTAAATGAAAATGATGAATGATGAAATGAATGACAAAACCAAATTCCTAAATGAAAGGTGTGTGTGTGTGTGTGAAATAAACTAATATCTTTACTTTACCTAAAAGACACAAATATTCCGGTCAGGAAATTCCTGACCGGAGCCCCGTCCGGACTCCTCCATTTGGGGGCCTTCCCGGTGGTATTTGTTTCTCAAATTTTTTTTGTATATTCCTCATCAAGTCTAGTTCATCCATACCAAATTTCAGCAAAAAATTCAATCGAGAAGGTCGTCAAATAATTTTTGCAAGTTAACTGGTCCGGAATATGTATTTTCCGGACCAGTTAACTTGCAAAAATCATTTAACGACCTTCTCTATTGATATTTTTTGCTCAAATTTGGTATGGATGAACTAGACTTGATGAGGAACATACACAAAAAATTTGAGCAAAAAAAATCACCGGGAAGGCCCCCAAATGGAGGAGGCCGGATGGGGCTCCTGTCCGGAATTTCCGGACAGGAATATGTCTCACCTAAAAGAATTGATTAAAAAGAAAAAAAATGAAACACAGTGGTCTTAGATATATTATGAAACATCTTTCTATATGATAAGATTGAATTTATGAATCAAATAGGCAAGTTTAGAATACAAACATAAGATAAATGAAATTCGGCATTCATAATTTATTTAGCTTTAATAACACTGTGATAGAAACAGGTTAATGTCAAACTTGTATTTTCCATCTTGATCGATCTTTTAATGAAACAATCATGCACTTTCCATATCCCCTTGTATATTGTGGCACCGAAAAACCGCGTTGAGCGGTGCTCTCTTATTCCAAATTAAATGACACAGTTGCTTTTAATGAAAGAAAACTTTCAAGCACAAGCGCGTAATAGTGAAACAATATTTGGTGTAAATAAAGTTATGTTGGTATAAATGCTTTTGTAAATAATGTAAATATGTCAAAAGTGTCGAACTATACTATTTTTTTCCTTGGGGAAAAATAATACCATTTGTTTAAATTTAAAGAGTCATTTGTCAGACTTACAATGAAATCGGGTGGATACAACACGGTTCATATACTATTACGTGTGTCAATAACTTGATATATGCTTTGTTTAGTTTTTGTCCGTTGAGGGGAAACGCTTATATATACGTAGTATAACGCTGATCTAATATGCTGCAATTTGCAACATTTTTAGTTTATTTCAGTTTAGTGTTTTGGCAGAAACGCCGAAACCCAAACATGGCCATAATCGCTTTATATTTGGTGTAAAAGTGGTACTACATATGTTGTATTGCATTGATTAATGTTTAACTGAATTTGAGAGTAAACTTTGGCCTTCCGTGTTCCTCCGAACCAAATGGATTGGAATATTTGACAAATAAATGAGATATACGGTCACAGGGGCGGAACCAGGGGGTCAGGGTGGTCAGCCAACCCCGCTGAAAGTTCAAGAATGTAGAGCTCTGAAATACCTTCGATTTGATATATTATGGGTCCCGTAACTCATTATGAGTAAAAAGTTATGACTTTTGAAAAAATCAGCATCATCTTAACTTGAAATATACGGAGTACAAAATTTGATGTGTGACGTTGATTATATTCTTAAATTTAAAAATAAAACACCTTATTTAGTCATTAGTTGTGTGAAAATTATGATACATTACATATATATCAATACATTAACTGTAAAGGCTCATTAAACTATCATTTATCTCAGTTACATATGAAACATTTAATTCAAATCTTGTATAATAATTATCAATCATTTTGATACTGGGTATAATTAAACTCCAACCCCCCTCACACACTTTTCTGGCTCCGCCCCGGTATACGGAGTAACATATAAGTCATGAAATAGTTTGGGATTAATTTCTCTAGCACTTATAAGAGATTAGATGGTCAACTTAATTTAGTTTGGGAATTAAGTTCATCCAAATTGTATTCACAACCATTCACGAGTTTAGTTTCTCACTCCCTATTAAGTCATGAAATAATAACACAAACTTTTTTACAACGCAAAAGCTTTAATATATACTACCTCCGTGCCAGTAGACTTTACCAAGTGCAAAGTAAGTAAGAAATAAGAATAGTAAAAACTGTGTTGTTGAGATTTATGCAAGGGAGAGAGAAATGTGCAGAACCACAAATTAGTTGCTTTAATATGAAAGTGACAAAGTTTTTTGGGACAACAAAAAGGGAAATTTGGCAAAGTCCAATGGGACGGAGGGAGTAATAATTACACATGCACAAATTTCGACTGCATATTGCTTTATACAAACTACCCAGTGATATAACAAACAGTGCACCTCCATTTGGGAGGGAAAAAGAAGTTCCAATCTCGGGTTTCAGCGGAAAGCATGATCGTAGTCGTGGAAGCGAAAAACTTTGTAAATGAAGTGAGATAACCACTTTGAAGCCAGAAAGCATAGTACTGCCATCACGACCAAGGCATTTCTCGTTGTAGCCGCCATGAACCCCTGCTTAGATGCAGCAACAATTCCAATGGAAGCAATGGAAAGCACCTGCAGCGCAACCTCCAGTGCATTCAAACTTCTATATGCTGAGCTGCAGCTTGAGCATTTCACTGTATGGCTCCAGTACCTGACAAAAACAATTGCAAAATGTTATGCTTTGTTTCCCGTTAAAAGCTTAATGCTATAGAATTTAAAATAATCCCAACACCACTTGTGGTTTTTCCTTCAAATCAAACATCAATTATTTGTAAATTTGTCACATCCCCTTGGTTGAAGTTTCAAAAAACGAGCCTGTAAGTTACAAGTGATTGGGCTGAAATTGTGCCTCATGTTTGATTATAGCTGTAAAAAAACTCCTTGATCTAGGTAAACTATTTTGCCTGAAATTGATAAGCTTGTGGATGATATTGATTGAGTTGCTAAAATTGCAGAAATGTGAAAAAAATTAAATATAATTTATTCAGAAAATGAAGGAAATATGGAAAATGCAACAATAATCAACTTCAGCTACTTCAGCAAAAAATAACCTGCAGACAAGACAAAGAATGGCTACCGAATGGCCGATAGGATGAATGTAAAGAAATGGAGGGGCTCAGTTGGGCTAATGAATTACCGGTCCATCAACTGCTCCCTGGGAGGCGATTGTGGGAGGGCACCACTATACTTCGTTTTCCAATCAACTTGCCCGCCTGCATACTTGTTTAACCACCTTCGAAAGGCAACAATCACAGCATCTGCCTTCGTTGGCACATAACAAGTTTTGTGCCAATTATATGGGCCAATCTCCTTTAGCTTATGCTCCTTACAAATGGAGGAAAAAAAAAACAAATGGTAGTAGTCAGACACAATTCAATGCATGAGGCATTTGTCTATCAACTCTACTACAAAACTTTGCATTAGAAAATTTTACACATGCAAACCATTAGAGTAATTGAGCAGCTAAGGTTGCTTGCTTATGGCAAATATTATGTTTCATACCAATTAAATTGGCAGTAGCAGGTATACTAAAGAAATCAACTCCAGATTTCAAGTGAGTTGAATATCAAAACAAGATT